AACTAGTGGGGAGAATATAAGAAAGATAGGGAGAAAGGTGTTTCAGGTCAAAGAAATAGTAGACATACAGATAAAGTGAAAAGAATGTATCCTTTTTCAATCTTGTTATTGCTGTTTTCAGCAGGGAATCATTCTATCAAACAAAATCTCTTGTGGAATTCCATTAGAAAATAAACCAGATACAAGTGGAGCTACTGAAGTAATTGTTGAGGGGCTAGAGGTGGTAGAGAAAAGAGGAAGGAAGGACAGTGCAATCTAGAGACAAGTTCACGTGGGGTGGAAGGCCTGGGAGCTTCTTTGTCTTCCTCAGGAGCCAGTCTCTACCACTGGAGGAGATAATTCTCCAACATTATGACCCTGTGTATTTTTAAATCCACAAGAAAATAATGGTCCTGCTGGCCTGCCCAGCATCCTGTTCACACTGGCATCTGCTTTTTGGTGCCCAGTCTATAGAATTGGCCCAGCTTTTCTTCCTTTCATGAACCAAAGGTAGCTGAGATGAAACCAGTGGGCTGGCTCTGTCCTGAATGTTGTTTTTACTCCCTGCGTTAATTGTGGGGCAAATTTCATTCATTCTTTCCATTATCTTTTGTCAAGCACCTCCAAGGTGTCAGACACAAACCCATGTGCCTGCTGTTGCTGGCAAAAGGTTCTACATTACAGGATCAGATGGGGTTGCAAATGAACTGTGGACACCTGCTTCTCACAGTATGGGCTGGGCTGGGAATCAAAGGTGCCTCTGGAATGCTTTCTGTCTGTAGAATGCCTGTTGGAGGAGCCAGACTTCAGATCCCTATTCAGTTCTATCAGGGATCTTAGCCCCAAAGAAAGTTACAGGGCCAGAAATGTGATCATACATGTAAAACTAGTGTGCAATTTCTGGGAGATCAGGTAACCCCTGTTGTACATTCCTTCAATCAACAGCACTGATCAAGCAGCTACAGTGTTACCTATGGTGCTGGCAAAAGGGTCCCTGCCACCAAAAAGCTCTCTGTTTGGAGGAGCTGACGATGGTTAATGGAGTGATGAGTTTGCTGTTACAGGGCATGCAAGTATGGTGGGACAGAAAGGAAGCCCTCATCCATTCTGCCTGGGTCATTACATGGGAACTTGTAGAGAACAACACATATTAGAGCTTGTCAAATGCATAGGGTTGCACGAAGTGACAAAGTGTGCCTGGTAGGACATTTGCCAACACAGAGGTGTGACTTCAGTGGTGCTTCCAATCTAGTCACCTGCAACTGTCCAGAGTTTAACCTTTAAGCACTTTCACATCGGTCACCTCATTTGATCCTCACACTGCAGGCAGCTGGAACAGAAGCTGGCTTCCAAAACAGTGAATCTTCCAGAGGGTACGTATATATAGGGCACTTTGTCAGAACCAGAATAGGCCCAGGTTACCATTTTTCTAGAACCATCATTTTTGTCTTCAAAGAGAAAGAGAGAGAATGGGAGGGAGGGAAGGAGGAAGGGAGGGAGGGAGGGAGGGAGGGAGGGAGGGAGGGAGGGAGGGAGGGAGGGAGGGAGGGAGGGCGGGCCTTAGCCAGTTTTGCTCAGTGGATTAGAGCGTCAGCCCTAGTACTGAAGGTTCCAATTTCGATTCTGGTCTAGGGCATGTGCCTCGATTGCAGACCCAATACCTGGTCCTGTTGGAGGCTCATATGGGAGGCAACCCACCCAATATGTCTCTCATTGATGTTTCTTTCTCTGTGTCTCTCCCTCCCCCTCTAAAAATCAATAAGAAAATATCCAAGGGTGAGGATTAACAACAACAAAAACTTCTTTGGGCCCTTCCTTATAGTCAAATTGCAAAATTAGTATCTTATAAAATGGCCTATGATAAGACTTTGCTCATTTGCTGCCTTAGCTGTGGGCTTGAAGAATAGAGATCCTTGCTGGGTGCAAAGTCAGTTTCTTTTGTTTGTTTTCTATCCAAATTGGCTTTTATTAATTTTTTAAAAGGACTGAGTGAATGGAAGTGAAGGGCCTAAGTGAGCACTAGAGAGGATATGTTGATGCACACAGTGCTTGTCTTTCCAAAGGGGTTATGTGGACTGGCTTCAATCACACAGATGTAGAATAGAACCTCAGTCAAGGTTTATATTTGTCTTTAGAATGGAAATAGTAACAACAAGACAACCAAATCAGGATGTGAGGATTAAATGAAATAAAGCTTGCATAGTACTTAATATGATTCCTGCCCCATAATAAGCCCTCAGTGAAATAACTTATCTATAACAATCCTATAATTTCACACTTTCTGGTCCTTTTTCATTATTTTTCATTATGGTAAGCTTGCCAAATAGCTGAGTTAGAGAAACCTACGGTGATATTGCATTTAGATTTGGTTCATTCATTTTAAAAAAATAAAAGTACTTTTTAAGCTCTTATACTGCATGGAATATCTTACACTAAATGTTATTTGGAGGAGTCAGAAAATACAGAAACATGATCAATGCTCTGGGGAACTGACAATCTCTTTATGGAGACCCAGCCAACA